TCACATTGCCGTCAGTTTAACGTCCACGTGAAAACGTAATCAATAGGGATTATGTACTTTGAATGTTAAAAATTATCTGGTAACTGCGTGTTTCCATTGGACGATCTTGTTCAGTTCATGAACACATGACTCGGTGCTTCATTTAGTTTATCAATTAATACAGAAATGACTAATCCCGATGTGTGATAGATTAGTATTCTGTTTTATTTTAACACCTATGTTATCGTCTGTAAAAAAGGAAGATTATCAGTATGATTTGACAAACGTTGAACGTTCAAAATGTGAGCGACACTTTTGGATGGGATAAAGAAAACCCGAGCATTACACGTTGGACTATCCAGGTTTTCTTTCCTCCCGTACCGTTTCCCCTCCCAGTCAGTCGTCCGAAATAGCTGCGAGGTTGGATTTCATGCAAACCACAAAATTAGACTGATCTTAAGATAGGTCTAGCCAAGAATAGTTGCTCCTCATCATCCAAAATTAGATGTGAATTCCATATGATAGGATCAATGTTTTCAGAGTTGGATGAACAAATGTAAACATTTTAGGCTTCAACTAGGAAGGAACTTATTGACATTTACTTCTGTGTAATGGATTTTCCGGGATCTGTCGGTTCGTTGCCAGAAAATCAATAAATTATTCCGATTAGTAAGTTCAGCTAAGAATAAAGTTATTCAAATAAAAACTGGTCTAATGTCACCCATTTCATTTGCGGTTTGGCTTCATTCACTCATTGGGTGTATTGTATTGTGTTTATATTTGGCATAAATCTCGTAAGTTTATAAGCTTACGTTTTCTTGGTCTATCCGTGAATAACTTGGTGATGACACCATTGGTGGTGACAGAAAATCAGCACTGAAGGTGGGTTATTATTCACGATACTCCAGGAAACCAGTACAAACGCTTTCTGTTCGTTTGGTAAAATACCGCCCAAGCACCGGACAGGAGTTTTATTGGAGCAAAAGGGGTATAAAAGCATGTGAAGAACAATGTCCAGAACATAATACCTGGAGTGTGGTTAAATCATCAAGAAAAGAACATGTGTTGATTTTTTAATTTTCCAATCCACTAACCTTTGAGATAAACACAATTGATTTATCATATACCTTAGTGTATAAATCCGAAGGTTTCCTAAGGTGTCTCGTTGAAGTAGGTGAATAAACACTCAATAGATTTGTCAGTACATTTATTGCAGTCGGCACACATGTAGCCGGTCCTTAGGCCGATGAGCAAGCACGAGCGGACAACACGTGGGAAGGCAGGC